CTCCCGGGTTTCGGCACCACTTGTCGCGCCCGCCTCGCCAGCAAGGAAGACGCGGCAACCGGAGTTCTTCTGACAGCGCTTTAATGGGGACTGCTTAACTGGTTACATGCAGAGAACGCCGAGCCATTCTGCGGCTGCTTATAAAGGCAGTAAGTACACTGGGCATTGTCTGATTGGATAAGGCACTTGGAAGGGAGGAGACAAACTCTGCACATGCGCTGAGCACTTGTTTGTCAGACTAACAGCAGGGTTGACAGAAGCGGGCGCCATCTTGGAATGGCGTTGCCACCGCACCCCACATCTCCCTCTATTTTATTAATTAAATGAGAACTGAGCAACCATTCAGCACCGTCCTTCGACAGTACGATCAAGGATGCAGAGCCTCACTTCCACCAGCAACCACCTTACCTCGTGCAAGTGAGCAAAACTCGGAGGTGTGCAAAAGGCTGGCTGTGGATTGGAGACATGCCTTATCTGGTGCAATGGGAGAGATCCCTCAGAGTGAAAGGCCATGTCTGCCAAATGCCTGGGGGGTAGGAGCGGTGCAACCCAACCTAGGCTAAACCCTTAAGCATGTCAACCACACCTGTGTAGACTGTCCCAGTTCAAGCGCAGCAAAATGCCTGTGCCAATACCACATGGTCCCTCCCTCTCTGGCCTGCAGCCTACAGATGCACCACAGTCCGCCAACAGCCGCAACGATCAGCAAAACAGCCACGGCTGCAAGACCGGACCATTCCTTCAGATGATGGGTGGCTTGTTGAATCCATGCTGTCAGTCCTGTGGCAAGGCTCAGTCCACACGAGTGGAGTTCATGGGAGGATCTGGGAAGGAAAATGTAGAGTTGACCAGAGTAACTGAAGAATATCTCATGGGCCAAAACTGATCTTGAAGAATAGGTATATTTGGATAGGTTGAGATGAAGGACATCTTAAGAAACAAGAATAATATGAGCAAAGTCATAAAAAGAAGATAAGGATAGTATGGTAGAAACTGTAAGTAGATTCAAATGAACAAGGGACCTCATTGCTGCTCTTGAAAGTGAAATGTGCTTAGC